ATCAATAGTGCTTAACTCACTAGACATGGCATAAAAAGCATCTCACTACCATTTACTGATAACACCATTGATTACTACTAAACTAAGACTGATCATGATAAGAAAAGAATTGATAGAAATTCTGAGTTAATTGATTGAGTGTATTAGTTTAAACGCATGTCTATCTGTTTGACTGTTAAATTATCTGTTCGTGTTTTATGTTTTAAACTGCAAATTGAAGGCCTTAGCTGAATCCGAAATTGATTAATGTTTTATACTAATTGGAATTTATTTGATTTTATGGTATTTTTAATTGAAATGTGATTTGGTATGATTAAATTGGATTAAATAGTGTTAAATTACATAAGTTAGACTTATTCACCAAATTGCCATGATAGTGGGCCACTTATCAATTCATGTTTGAAGCCTATTGCATATTGATGCATCACTTGTTCTCTATTCTTGAGAGACCAAACGTGAGAGAGAACTAGAGTGTTGGAGACCTTGAGTTCAACTAGAAACCTTGCTTGAATTTAGAAGAATTGAAGAGAAAATTAGCAAATTGAGCCTGTAGACTTGTAATTGAGGAACCTAGGTAAGGATTTCATCCTTTCATTTGTGAATTGAAGTTAGTTCTTGCATGGTTCTTGGAAGATTAGAGTTTTGAAGTCCAGAATTGGTTTACAATGTTGAATTGAGAGCTAGATCATGCATGTATGCTCTTATATTGAGGTTTTGAAGTTGTTTTCATGGAATTTGTTCCATGCATGTCCATATCTTGATTTTAGATCATGAAATCATCTTGTTCTTGAGGAAATTGACTCTTTTGATCAAGTATTTAAAGCTTTAAAGATGTTTAAATTCTTGAATGTTGCATACACTTCATGTTCTTGAAGTTTTGTTTGAAAATGGGTTTAATTGACTCACTTTTGGGCCTTGATTTTATAAATTGAGCTTTGAATCATGTTATACTATGAATTTACAAGTGTTTTCCAGAAAAGTGGCTCAAAAGGATCGAATTTGATGCTTAGAGTTGAGTTTTGAGCTTGAGGTTCAAATATGGAAATTCCAGATTTTGGACTTACGCTCGAGCGTATGCCTTGTGTTCATGCAGTTCGCTTCGCGAGGAAAGTGGCGCTTGAGCGTGAAATGCGTGTATCCAGTACTTTGCATGTGTTTACAGTCCACTCGAGCGAGAGAGTTCACGCTTGAGCGAGGACTTGTGTCTCACGCTCGAGCATGGATTGAGCGCTCGTCGAGCGTGATTTTTGTGCATCCAGTATTTTTACTGTAGCTTACAGTCCACTTGAGCGACGGAAGTTACGCTTGAGCGAAGCTCCTTTGTCTGCATGTCCGCTCGAGCGCAGAAAGCCACGCTCGAGCGAGACCCCTGTTTTTTGAAAATTCTGAAAAGTGTTTTAAAGTGCATCTCTGCATCCTCATTCCATCCTAGGCATTCCTAGGCCTAGTTTAAGGCATTTTAATGAGGATATTGATATAGAACCACATCGAGAAAAATTAGGGATTAAGTTATTATTTTCCCAACTGTGTAGCTTAGTGTGTGCTTGTTCTGAAACTGTAGGGTTGGCATCCGAGGACGCTCTAGCTGTTTGTAGCCCAGTGCTCTGTGAGTAACTATGTTGTAAAGATATGTTCAATTGAGATTATTTTCTGAACAAATGACTGTACTGCTTTACGAAATGACACTGTTTACTGAATGAATGTTTGTCCTATTTGTGAACTGTATTCGTGGCATCCATAGCAATTTACTGTTACTGAACTGTTACTGCTACTGTTACTGCTACTGTTACAGAGATCTCTGTCAGTTCCCATGTTTGGAACCACTACTGTTTACTGATATGATGGCCATTATTGACTGTTCGGTCTATTAAGACCTACTGTACTATTTTGCTATTGGATGTACCACATATGACTATTATAGTTTCTAAATGACTGTTATGGCATGAATTATGAGCCACAAACTGAATGACTGATATACTGATAAACGACTGTTTTCAATACTGAAAGGACATTCATTCTTAACCTCTTTACGCATATGTTATTCACTAGGCTTTAGCTTACTGTTTATATATATATGTAGGTGTTCAGGCACCAGACCAGAGTTAAGAGTGTCGGATTAGCTCTTGTTTTGTCAAGCCAACCATCGTGCCTCACCTTGAGGTTCCAAGTGCTGCCAAGCTAAGGCTGCTTCGGGGTGTTTTAGATTTCCTCCTTTCTGTCTTTGTTATGTATAGACTGTATAGACTGTTACCGTACTGTTTTGGTAAGGACTTGGTCCCTAAACCCGAATGATTGTATATGAATGTACATGTACTGTTTATGTGGATATGTATGAAAAATCTTTTTGCATACAAACTGTCACAGCTTATTGGATATCTTTAATTATTGTTTTGGCTTCCACCAGCCCCTGTACTCTGCATTGTTGTCATTACTGTTAAGCAGGCCTTCGGTAATCTCAGATTACTGGCCGGTTACGGTGCTAAACCCATAGGGGCAGGTTTGGGTCGTGACACCTTAGACCTATATGGGTGCCTCACTTTTATAGCTAACACAATCCTAGTCCCAATAGAAGCCTAGCTCCAATGAACTTAGGATTACTGCTAATCTTGGACTTCCAGTATGATTAGGATAAACTCTCTAAGAGTCTTATATTTACCCAAATTGAAGTCTGCTCCCATTCTAGGACTCTTGTCCCTTATCCGCTTATCTCGGATTCCGGTATTTTCGCAGATAACCTCGGCCTCGCCGAGATCACCTCGACATCATGACCAGGACACGTGGCACCTCGGCTGGCACTTCGGTGACACCTCGGCCACGTGTTGTCATTCAAAAATTATGTCCTCATAATGGCAATAGAAAAGTTAAGAACCCAGAAAGGAAGTCCACAAACATAGATTATCCGAATTTTCCTTTTTCAACATGCATTTGGAGAAGACTTTGCAATTGCAAAAATTCAACACAAAAAAGTGTTTATGTTGTGCACAATAAAAAGCATTTGATACTTGAACAAGGGCATGTAAACTTCGTTGTAACGATAATTTTTAATGGCAAATAGTTTTATGTGATGCCTAGCTATTTGAGGTGTAAAAAAAATGTCCTGAAAAAAAGAGAGAATTGCTATACAATCTTTAACGATGCTTAGTGGCGTTATCTAAAAAATGTCGTTACATGTTTGGGAATAATCTATTTCTCTTGCCACAATAAGAACTCGCCCTTATGCTCAATCAAAAACTAATTTTGATATAATGCTTCATTCAACAATATGAGAATAAAATGTTCCAATAAAACAATCCAGTCATCTCTTTAGCTCCAAGGCTATAGAAAAAAGAAAGAAGGAAAAAAAATGCGAAAAGCAAGATTATAAATTCCAAGATATATACTGTTCATATTAAAAAAAAAATTGAACTAGTATCTTTTCCTTCATTTATTTGGATCTTCATGTCGAGCTTGAGCTTTTTTCCTCGAATATATATCTGTTTAAGCAATTTGGGCACTTCATTCGGGAAAAGAAACTACTATTGTAAAGCATTGGAAAATACCTAGTCATCATGACAACGATAAAATCAAGCAATAAATGATATATCCATAAGGAACTGCAATACCTTTGAATAGCATCCGGATCTCAGAATGTATGTCCTTATGGAAAATACACAATAATGCACCCACATGTCTGTAAGAATTCTGAATATTTTTCTGTATATTCAACTTATAAAATTTACAAAGAGTGCATAAGTTATATAGCCCTAACTATGATTGAAAAAAAGGAAATACAAAGATTCCTGTTTACATCACCACAATCTTGCCTAATTTGCCTAATTCCTAATATACACAATTATGCCATATATACATATATTCTCACACCCCCGTTCAAACTCAAATTGTTTTAGCAAAAAACACGGAAAGTTTGCTAAGAAGAAACTGAAACCGAGTGATAGTGTGAGTCTTGGGGAAGAAGTTCGCAAGTTGCAAAGCCGAGGAGACCAAAGGAAGCAAGATAGAACTAGACTGCAGATGTTGGGGGACAAAGTGACAATCAATCTTAATGTGTTTTGTTCGTTCATGGAAGACAGTATTGTGGCCAATATGAATAGCACTGCGGTTATCACAATAGAGAGAGGTTGGAGAAGACTAAGGTACACCCAAATCAGAGAAAAGACAACGAAGCCAAATAAGCTCAGCAGTAGCATGAGCCATAGCACAGCACTCAGCTTCGGCAGTAGAGTGAGCAACAACAGTTTGTTTCTTGTTTTTTCAAGAGATCAAGGAATTGTCAAGAAACATACAGAAGCCAGAAGTGGACTTGCGATCATTAACATCACCAGCCCAATTAGAATCAGTATAGGCCACCAAATCTAAAGAGGAAGTAGAGGACAACACACTACTACAAAAATAGTTAAATATCACACTTTCACAAATGAAAATATCTCACTTTTATTGGAAGTGTGATAAAAAAAAATTTGATGAATTTTTTAATCACACTTAATTTGATTATGTGTGATAATATTTATTTTTTATCTCACTTTTCAATTAAGTATGATTATATATATTTTTTTAATCACACATTCTAATTAACATGTAATTAAAGATCACATAAGATGAATTAAAAATATCTCACTTTTATTAGAAGTGATTAAAAAAATTAATTTTTTTTTAATTACACTTAATATAAGATATATTTTTTTAATCACACATTTTAAATATGGATGATCATGTATATTTATACAGAGTTTAAACCCAAACCTAATCACCCTAACCTCATATATATTACAGTGGTGATAGATCCCACTAAAAATGGATCACTAAGCCAGCTCTAATGAGCTGGCAGTCCAGAAAATAAAAAAAAAAATAAATAAATAAAAAACAAAATATCAAATCAATTAGAAACACAGTATTTTTAGAGCTATTAAAGCTCATTATTTTAGTGGTCTCAAACAATTTCCTATATATTATACAGAGTTTAAACCCTAACCTAACACTCCCCCTCGCTCTCAGTCACTCGCACTCTCACTCTCCTCTCTTTTTATCTCTTCTGCCTCCTACGTCGTTGCCTCACTACTGCTGCCGTCACCTCCTCCTTCGTCGCCCTCTCTCTCGTCTCCTATTCTCTTCACCGATCTTCACTGGTCGTTTACTTCGTCTTCTCCACTCTCGTCGTTGGTTCCAAAACGCTAACCCTACGTTCGATCTTCTCCAATCCCTTCACAAGCCATATGTTCGAATCCAAACCCTACACTCCCCTCAACTGTTTCAGAACCTTTGTCTACAAAGGACTACCGTCGGACTCGTCAGAACGGCGATCTTGAACGGGCTGATTGCGACGAGAAAGATTAGGTGGCAAGGCACATTAATGCGTCAAAAATGAAATCGGAAGATGGACAATTCATCTTTGCACTAATTTTTCTCTCCATTTCTGTTGAATCGACTCCTCGATCTTCTCTGATCAGAACTCTGCACCAGATTTGCCAGTTCAGCCCAGCTCCAGGTTTAGCCTTGAGGTACACCCACTCTCCTCTCATTCTCTGCCTCTGTTTTTCACTTGCTTTCTTTTCTTCACTTTCCTCTCAATGAATTCAAGATTCAGATTTTTTTTGTTTGTTTATATTTTCCATTTTTTCCCCTCAGAAACCAAAAGATTGGATCAATATACACCTCTCTTATCACAAATCTACGTTTAATTTTTTCCTTCTTGTTGATTTCAAATTCTATTGAAGATTTTTTGTTTTCTCATAAACATGATTATAAGTTGAATACAAACTACCAACACAAGTCCATACCCAGATGAAAATGTTTCTTATAGATGTTGTCTTGCTCCCTTCTTCTGAAAGGGTGCTATTTACTTATGAGGATTATGTCAATTATTAGTGTTCACTCAGGTAATTTTCATGTTTTTTTTGCTATGTTTTTTTAATTGCTCGAGAATTATGTTGAATTTACTTTGATGATATTGTTGTGGTTGGTTAGGGCGTGCCTGAAATGCTTTTCCCATGGCTAATGGTTGAAATTTGGTTTCTTCCAAATATTTTGTAATGTCAGCAAATATATTATGAGGTGGTCAGAATGGGGAGGAATTTTGTTTGCAATGCTGAGCTAATGGTCAAAACTGAAAGTAGGGCTTGTTGCAAATGAAAGCAATTTAGTATATTTGTTCTCTGATTCTGTGGTCAATTGTTATTAAATAGTTTTCCCCATTTTTTTTGGTGTCTGATTTCATTGATGGGAATATTGTTTCCATTGTTCCAGAGATGGCTTCGTGATCGCCAAGTAATTATAATTGAATATTGTGCCAATTCATTGTCACATAGCAGCATTTGGGTGTTAATACGATCAATGATATAAACTGTTGTTCATGTTGTTCAACTTCTGATGTTATCATAATTCTTGTGATAATTTTTCCAATGACGAAGCTTTTAGACATTACAACAATGTTGTTGTTTTTCTAAACCGGATGGCATATTATGGGGTAAAGTCAATTTAGGCCATTTCAATTTGGCCTTGACCTATTAAGGATTTATATTTGACTACAACATGGGTTTCATGGAATTTAGTCATGCATTTCATATGTTTTCCCAAAGCTAAAGCTTCTCTCTCAGCTATTCTATATGTAAAGTTGGTATATTTTTTTGTCTTTTTAATGTGGATAGGAACTAACTTTCTTCTGCATGGGCTTCACTCAGTTAATAGTCACTGCTGGCGAGGATTGTACATGTCGTGTGTGGGGATTGGATGGTAACTAGCTTAAGATGATAATGGAGCACATGTAAGTTGAGTTTGCAATTGTGCATGTGTATTTTGATGTGCCATAGCTTAAAATGTAAGACCTTAAACTACACATATTTTAATATTCTACAATGTTGCAACTGAGCTTGCTAATACCACGGATCATGAGCCTACATAATCGGAATGCCCACACAGCACAATTAGACCAAATGTTGTTGTGTAGTTATGATGCTGAGATAAGGCTGAACCAATTTAGGTTGTCGACTATTCACATGCCGCATCATGGGTTTGTTCAACTCATCTGATCAATTTGGTTTGGGCATCCTAAGAAGTTTATTATCTTGTCAAGTTATTCTACAATTTGTCAATACTATTCTTTGCCTTTTATTATTATTTGGAGTATGAAAGATGAATTCTGCTCTGCAATTTCTCTTTTCTAGAAGCCTTTCGTTCAGATAAAGCATCGTATCTGTTAAATGTTTTTCTATTATTAATGACACGTGTGTATGGCCTTCCTCCTTTTAGAATTTTTAATTTAGAGTAAATGATTTTGGTTGATGGCCTGGCCATTCTATACCATCACTCATTTGAACACCTAATTGGCACTATTCTAGTGTTTTCGTCACCGTGCTCTTACCTTTTCCCTCATTTTTCTTTGCTACATTGACATTTTCTTCTTGACTTCACTTGTTACATGGAAGAAAAGTCTTCTTATGTTTGAGAATTTTTTATCATTTGAGATAAGGCCCAGACTAGACTATGTTAATAACCCTAACTGAATTTGTTGCCAAAATTGGACTAACAGCTTCCACTAAGAATTTGTGTATCTTGGTGATCTGATCTGCACAATAGTTGGTTTCTCGGCATGCATGTTTGAATTCCCATCCAAGGTTCTACCTAGTAGCTCTCTGATGCTCAAAATGAGAGTGTAATGGGGATCAAAAGAGGAGGCAAAAGCAATTGGAGTCTATCTGAGTATGCAACTGAGTTGGTTTCCAGCTTGACTTTGCTGTGACCTTTTAGCAGATATTTCAATGTACGACACAAATCTGTAGACTGCAGTAGTATTTGTTGCCCAGCCTATATTTTTAACGAAACCCACAATCCAATATGTTGTTTTACGGCGATTTCCCATTTGTCTGGTTGGCTTTTAAAGCCACGAGGACAGGTCCACTCTTACAATCCGCCTATATATTTGCTAACATGATGCTGTTTTTATTAGACATCAATCTTAACATTACATGTATAATTTTTTGTTACACTTTCATTGCTTACTTTTATATAGTAGAAAGTTTTTTTATTTTTTTATTTTTAATTTAAAAAACTATTTGTTACTTTGCAGTGGGAGGGGAATTTGGTGATGCTTGTATGATCCAAACTGTTCACTACTTGTTGCTGCTGGATGTGACTCATCAATTAAAAGCACAGTTGCTGAATGCTTCCCTGTTCAAGAGCTCAGAGAGGCATGATGAGGAAACAAAGAACTCACTGATAGAACAAAGATCTTCACTGTTCGTATCCCACGTTCATTTGAGTATATTGGACTCATGAACAGGTAACTTCCGCCTTGCAAGTGTTGCTCTTAGCCAAAAAGAATAGAGAAAGAATAATGTATTTCTATATGTACTGGTAGTGGCGTTTGTAAGTAGCATAGTGAACCATAACTGTATTTTCTCAATATTATTTTTGATAATGAAGAAAACCGTGAATGGTGTGTGTAGAGGTTGTCCAAGAACATTCGTATGAATAGGTTGTTTAGACATCTCCAGTATGAAACTGGTAACCTATAAACCTTCAATATTATTTTGGGTTACCTCACCTTCTTTCTTATCGTATGAATAGGTTGTTCTTGTTGATGATTTTGCTCATAGAGATATAACTCAATTTAGTTTAAATTTACTCTTTGACATGGACCAACTGAATTTGTGACAAGGGTAAGCATATTCATGATGTAACAAAAAGTATGGGGGTAGAGTAAAGAATCTTAACCAACGATCAACTTAGTTTAAATTTACTCTTTGACATGGACCAACTGAATTTGTGACAAGGGTAAGCATATTCATGATGTAACAAAAATTATGGGGGTAGAGTAAAGAATCTTAACCAACGATTGTGTTACTAGAATTATTTTTTAGTGTGCAAGAGTGAAAATGACAGTTCCTCTGTCTGTTTACATGCCTAAAAGCTGTGTTTTATATGAGTTCTATGATGGATATTTTTCTCTCTTTTTTCCCTGAATTCTAAATGATGAAACACAAATTCCAAGTCAAAATGGATATGTGAAGGTTTTTTCAATTCCATTTACAGGGACTTCTCTATCTGTTCTATTTTAGTAAAGTTATATTTTCAGGATTACAGTTCCATTCACTACTGGAAAAGTGATTTATTTCGACTATTTTTTTGCGATCGATTATTTAACAGTCGCACAAAATAATATTTGTAACAGCAAACTGAAGTTTTATTTTTTATTTTTTATTTTTCCCTTTTCATTCGTTGTCACTCAGATTGCCCCTTGGATTGTCCAAAATGATCTCTCTAGAACATCAAAAAATCAGCATTTTCAGGTATTTCCTTCGATTAATCTCTGGCACATTTTTTTTTTCCTTTCTCTATATATATTCTTTGTATTATGGACAGTTGTTGTCTTGCTATAGGTCAATGAGCAGAAATCAATGAGAGGCATGCATTTTAAAAAGGTGCCTGCAATTATGTTTAATAAATAAAGATGTATACATTCTGCTGCAGACTGATAAAACCTCTTCAAAGCCTTGTGGAAAGCGCGGAATAGCACTATTTGCTATTGATGAAGTCCATCGTGTTTCTAAGTGGGGTCATGATTTTCGACCTGATTACAGGGGTATATTTTCTATCCTTTTGAATATATCATTTGGTGTTTCTAGTCCATGTCACTTGTATAGACATGATAGTATTTGGATCTTTTGTAAGCAAATGCATGTAGTACAATTACTTTGGGAATCTAGTGATTGTCCCTAGCGACTATGTGGTGCAGTTCTTGTATGTGCAGGGCAGGTGGGATTGATTGTGATTGACTCAATTTGAAAATATGATATGAGGTTCATATATATGCATGAACAGAGAATAATTTCTATGCATTTTTTTAGTTTGTCCTCCTTTATAATTCCTATACTTTTATGATTGTGCAATGATTGGTAACATTGGTTCCACTCCACCTATGATTTGCAGTTCAAAGTTACCCAACCACTTATATGTCCAGAACACAGAAAGCAGGTTGACACCCCATGTTTTGCTAGCTTTAAGCATTGATCGTGCATCAAACTTATCTGTAGACACAAATTTTAAAATATGAAGTGTTTCGACACATTTCAAAATTTATGCTACAAATGTCCACTGTTTAGTTTTTAGACTAAACAGTATTGATTATTTGAATAGCAGGTTCTTATTTCCAATCTGTATTTTAGATCGTTAATTACACATTTTATACAAATGAAATCTTCGATTAATGAAGAATAAAATAAACAACAAAAGACAATTTGAATTTGAATTTCAAATTGAATGATAGCGCTATTTGAATTTTGAATAATAGCGCTATCTGATTAATCGTATATCTGATTAACCGGATTGATCTTTGAGGTTTCATCCTATGTGCTGTCCTTGCTGTAGGCTCTACAGATGTCATCTTTCGTAGGCTTTACGTGTCACTTGAGCATCTTGAATAACGTCGTTGAGATACAACGTCGTTTTATTTATGCACTCCAACGGATTATATTGATCTTTTTAGGTAGTGATTACCTACAACTTTTCTATCATAGGCTCTATACGTGTCATAAATTTAGTTGAAATTTATGTGCCAACAAATGCCCTTCGTGACATGCACAAGTGAATTTTCCTAACTGTGCGAGTCACGATAATTTGGCACTTTTATCTGGATGCTCTTGGATGGAGTTATTTCTTAGCCTTAGTCCCTTTCTTCCACTTTTCAGGCTTTGTATTTTTTAATGGGTTGATTGCTCCTTATTGTCCATGGGCCCTTTTTATTATTATTATATATATATATATTTTTTAAGGCATGGCCACCACTTTTACAGCAGATTTTTTTTTTTTTAGGCCATCATGGATTTTTCTAGACCATCATGGACCTTTCATTTTCTAGGCCACCATTTTTTTAATTGGGCCTTTTCTTTTGTGGGCCTCCAACTTGTCACTATTTTTTTTCAACAAATTTGTTTTGTAGACCATCATAGATTTTTTCTAGGCCATCATGGACCCTTTCTTTTCTAGGCCACCATTTTTTTAATTGGGCCTTTTCTTTTGTGGGCCTCCAATTTGCCATTTTTTTTTTAAGTAAATTTTTTTCTAGGCCATCATGGATTTTTTCTAAGCCATTATGGACCTAACAATTTTATTTTATTTTTTTCATTTTATTATTGCATTTTGGATGAATGTAAATGAAGAATTACTTTGAGGGAAGCTTGAGATTTTGAATGATTTTACTTTAATTTTGTATTATTGGGTAGTAGTAGTAGATGAAGAATGTTGAGAAAGTAGTTGGAGAATGACATTGATGATTTACCTTAGGAATTGTATTGTTGGGTAGTAGATTAATTTTGAATGATTTTGAGATTTTAAATGATTTTAGGATTTTGAATGATTTTGAATGATTTTAAGATTTTAAATGATTTGTTTGTATTAGGAATTGATTTTGTTGTGTTTTTAATTTTATAAATTTTAATTAATTAATTATTAATGTTGAAACATTTTAGAAAATTGGAAGAAAATGACCTAAAGTAAATATTTACAAAATTGGGGAAAAAAAACTCAAAAATTAATTTTTAAAGGAAAAAATCCAAACCGCAAACCGTCGCAACTGCCCTCACATCTGCAAACTCTATCCACACAAACCACAAACCGCGCTGCAGGCAGTTGCGGTTTGACTTTTCCCCAAACCGCATAGGTGCGGACGGGTCAAAACCGGACCACAAACCGCACAAATCCGATTCGCAAGCACCCCTAACGGTAAGGGTAAAAGTGATACGATTTCAAAAATTTTGGGAGTAAAATTTAAATTATTCAAAGTCTAGGAATGTACTTGAAAATTGTGTAAAAGTATAGAAGTAAAAATGAAATTTGCTCTAAATTGAAGGACCAACTTGAAAAATTCAACCCCATTTTTGTAGCTCCATATTAAAAATAAAAAAAATAAAAAAGTATCTTAAAAAAAAAAATCACTTACCAAACAGTAATTTTGGCTTTTCCCCTAATTTGAGACCCTTTAAAAAATGAAGAGGAGGTTGGGCAATACTTAATAATTTCCCCTTAAGAGGTCAGGCCGTCATCAGACATGCAAGATTTTCCAAATCATTAAAAACAAAGGAAAAAAAATCCCTGCCACAGAACCTTTTTTTTTTTAAGGTTTCAAATTTTTTTCAAACTGTTTAGCAAACCTTTTTTTTGTAGACCATGAATCTAAATAGACCAAACAAAATGAGATTATTTATTTGCTTTGGTCCTTGGCTTTTTTTTTTTTTTTGGTTAAAAGTCGAAAATCAGCCTTGCCCTCTCGTGATTCGTATAAGTGAATTTTAATAGCACGAATCATGATGATTAATTTTGTTTTTGTTTTGTTTTGTTTTTTGTTTAACAATTATTTCATGTCTTTTTATCTCTTTTGCAGGCAACCCGCAAGGCGTCAGAGTTTGTTTGCAGGTATCATTGCCCCTTCTAGCCTAATGGCAATGAGTGGCTCGAATCCTTGGCAGTGATTGTGTCCTTTCACCCCAATGGCTTGAATCCTTGGCAGTGAATGTGTCCTGCACCCCAATGGCTTGAAACGTTGGAAGTGATTGTGTCATTCACCCCAACGGCTTGAATCCTTGGTAGTGATTAGGTCCTTCACCCCAACGGCTTGAATTCTTGGCAGTAATTGTGTTCGTCACCCCAACGGCTTGAATCCTTGGTAGTGATTGTGTCCATCACCTCAATGGGTTGAATCCTTGGCAGTGAATATGTTCGTCACCCCAACGGCTTGAATCCTTGGCAGTGAATGTGTCCGCCACCCCAACGGCTTGCAACCTTAGCAGCGATTGTGTCCGTCACCCTAACGGCTTGAATCCTTAGCAGTGAATGTGTCCGTCACCCCAACGGCTTGAATCCTTGGCAGTGAATGTGTCCGCCACCCCAACGGCTTGAAACCTTGGCAGTGATTGTGTCCGTCACCCCAACGGGTTGAAACCTTGGCAGTGATTGTGTCCGTCACCTCAACGGGTTGAATCCTTGGCAGTGAATGTGTCCGTCACCCCAACGGCTTGAAACCTTGGCAGTGATTGTGTCCGTCACCCCAAAGGGTTGAAACCTTGGCAAGAGGCTTTCGTCAATTTCTTTATATTATGACATTTTGCCTTCACTACCTTTTTTTTTTATTTATAGGAAGCATGGAAAAGACACTTGAATATCTTCGACGTGACGAGAGGGATGTATTGGATAAATCTGATCCGAAAATAATTCGACACAAACCTATCACTGCTTTATTGTCACCTACCGAGTTGGACCCTTACATCCCTTTACATACGGCTTTCGAAGACTTGATCTATACAGGAATTCGAAACTACTGTGAGATTCTCGAGAAAGGGCACTCCAAATCAATTGGTTCATTCTCTGTCTCAATCCGTCGTCCATTTTCTAAAGACCTTCACTGCTCTGAATTTAATACTCTTCTTAAGAGAATAAAGCATGAAAAACTGAAGTGGGATAATTCTTTTAATGTCCGCGGCATTTCTATTCATTTGCAATCCCCTATATGGATTTTTTGGTTGAATGATGTTCTTTCCACATTTGCTCATATTTTGAAGAAGTGTGGGATTTATGTTGCAATCTATGTATCCCAATTTGCTTATGCTTGGAATGTTTCCCTCCTCAAAGGATTCTTGGAGCGGTGGTCACCTGACACCAACACTTTCCACACCATTTACGGCGAACTTGGGATCTCTTTATGGGACCTTCATTGCATTAGCGGGTTCCCAATTTGTGGCGAGTTTTATGAAGAGTTCACCCCCTCCAATGACATTTTATATTCGTCCCAGACATCCAAGGCGTGTCGTTGGCTTTTCAACATTTATGCCAGCTCTTGTCAATCCAAGAAGTTTAACCACTGGACTTTCAAATTCATTGACGAATCCCCAACTTCAATTAGTGGTTTTCAACGAAAAGGCGTGCCGTTGGCTTTTCAACATTTATGCCAGCTCTTGTCAATCCAAGAAGTTTAACCACTGGACTTTCAAATTCATTGACGAATCCTCAACTTCAATTAGTGGTTTTCAACGATAAGATATAATTCTTGATGATGCGTATCTTTCTGGTTTTTTGGCGAGCTGCTTAGCGGATTTGTCTTCCCTCACTCTTTCGGGAAAATTCGTCCGGCGACCTTCATGTAGCCACCAAAATGGCAGGTGGAACCTTATTTAGCCTGGCTATCCCCGTCCTTGCATACCTCTATCATTCTCTTGGTAAAATGGCATCATCATCTTCACCTGGGTAGGAAAATATTCAGGATCCTTTACATTACCTTTTTGGATGGATTTCACTATATTTTGTCAAGACTTACTCTCATGGGGATCCTCAGTCGATTTGTCCGATTCCTGATATTCATTTCATGCCATATCTTGGGTTTATTGGAAACCAATCGGATGCTCAGTTTTTTACTGATAAATTTCCATTTGTGGACTCTCTCCTAACTTATCGTACGGAGTGTCAGTTTAG